TCATGTTTACATATTATAAATAATCTATAATTGAGTCCAGTGTGACCAAATCTTGTCATTAATTGATCTTCTCTTCTATTTGTATTTCTCCTTCCTGTTCTCATCCCTCCTACTCTCTTTTAAAACTTGTGGTACCATCTTCCTTAGCTCCCTTCATTCCATTCTGTCTGCCACTTTTTCTTCAGTTCTATTTTACTGACTTATTTTTTATTTATTAGACTGATTCCTCCTTTAGTTGCCCTTTTTGCCACTTTTAGGGTCTGGGAGACTCCCTGCTGTCTGTCCTGTCATTATTCCTCCAGATGGCGTCAAAGAGCTTGTTGTTTCTCACATAGACATATATATATATATATATCTATATATATATATGTGTAGAGATGTATATATGTATATGCTGTTGTATATCTGGAGTTGGTAATAATAACAATAATAATAATAATAATAATAATAATAATTTCCCTCTGGGATTAAAGTATTTCCGATTCTGATTGGACCTTTCTCCGGTGCAGTGAAAGACAGAAATTAGCTGTTTGTTTTTTTTTGTGGTGTCTCTTTAACTCTTTAACATAACTCTGGATATGTCAATAACAAGGAGCACCTCTTCAAGCAAGATTTTTTTCCGTGAGTTTCGATATGCGTCTGCAGACAGAATGTGTGAACTTTGTCAAGCTTCAGCTCCCAACGTGTTTAGACCTTTGAACATTCCTGCCACGCCTTCCCTTCCCTTCCCTTTGCCCACAGACCTTTTTCTGACACACTGAAAGATTGTACCTGTTTGCCAGCTAATTTAGATCTTATTTAGCTGGAAACACACATTTACACGATAGCAAACACTGAAGTAATATAATTTCCTCTGAGCAATGAATGAAATTATCATTGAATTTGATTCATTGATTCAGGAGCTTGTAGAAACATGGTTAAAAGCATAACTTCATAACTTAATTAATCATTTTCTGTATTGAATTCCCCGTCTTTTCCATCTGTGTGAAGGACTTTCGATCCGCTCTTCTTCAGTTTCTCCAGCTCATATCAACAACTAGTGATCTGCACACTGATTCTTTGACCTTTGAACCTTAAAAATTGGTTGTTAACTCATTGACTGCCAGCCATTTTCAGAACAGAGTCCCATACTGCCAGAGTTTTTTCAGCATTTTGACTGATTTTTCTAGAGCCACAGAATAGTTTGTGCTATGACTATGTAAACACAGAACACACCAAAAGAAAGAGTAGACTCTCTTCTTTCATCAGGAAAAAAAAGTTTGTTTCTACCTTATTCCGTTCTTCCTGGACTTGCGTCTCACCGGCGACATGTTCTCTCATAGTACCGTTAGCTTTTTCTTATTTGCCTACAGTCTATGCTCATCTCCCATCAAAAGTGGCACTGCCCCCTAGAGCAGGGGTGTCAAACATACGGCCCAAAGGAGGTTCGATCAGGCCCGCAGGATAATTTGAAAGTGGAAAAAATGCATAAAAGACATGGAATTAATATTTTTAATTTAGCTGCAATTCATGGATTATCCGCTAGGGGGCGCACTCTTTCCATCAGAGTAGAAGACAAGCCGCATTACTGAGACAGACTGAAAACTCTCCACCTCTCCGCTACACCCTCATAAGCCAAAATGTCGTTATCCAAACGGAGAAAAGTACATAAGGAGTGTAGAATTTTCCAAGAAAAATGGACCACGTCCTATTTATTTACAGAGATGCACGGAAAACCTTTGTGCTTGGTGTGTTTGCAACAAGTTTCGGTATTGAAGGAATATAATATTCGACGCCACTACGAGACTCATCACAGCGAAAAATATGACGGGTTGCAAGGACAACTGAGAAGAGAAAAGATTAACGAATTGCTGGCGGGTCTGAGGAAACAGCAGTCAACTTTCATCCGGAGCCGAGAAGTCAGTGAAGCAGCGGTAAAAGCCAGCTACCTAATTGCTAGCGAAATAGCATTAGCATCGAAGCCGTATTCCGACGGTGACTTTGTTAAACGATGCATGATGAAGCCGGCTGAACTTGTATGTCCCGAGAAGCGTCAAGCTTTTGCCAATATTAGCCTGACGAGGAATACTATAGCAGAGAGGATTTCGGAACTATCGGCAGATTTAGACAGTCAATTGAAACAGAGAGTCGAGTCATTTATTGCATTTTCCGTGGCAATTGACGAGAGCACTGACATCACAGACGTGGCCCAACTGGCCATATTTATTCGAGGAGTTGATGAGACATTGACTGTTACTGAAGAGTTTCTTGAGTTGGTGCCAATGATGGACACCACAAAAGCCGAGGACATTTTCGGCTCTGTGGTTGCTGCATTGGACAGAGTTGGAGTGGACTGGTCCCGCGCTGTCAGCCTGGCTACAGACGGCGCGCCATCCATGGTCGGAAAGAAAGCAGGTGTCGCGACAAAGTTCAAAGACAAAGTACAAGCCCTTAATGGAGGAGATCGTTTCTGGAGATTTCACTGTATTTTGCACCAGGAGGCATTGTGTTGCAAGTCGCTGAAAATGGACCACGTCATGGAGGTGGTTGTTCGCACTGTAAATTTCATCCGGTCCAGAGGTCTGAACCATCGTCAGTTTAATAAACTTCTCAGCGACAGCAACATTACCCACAGCCTGCCATACCACACTGAAGTGAGATGGTTAAGCCGAGGCGCTGTGCTGAGGCATTTCTTTGATCTACGAGAGGAAATCGGACAGTTCATGGAGAAAAAAGGAAAACCGGTGTTGGAATTACAATCTCAGGAATGGCTACGGGACCTTGCATTCTTGGTTGATATTACTGAACACTTGAACAATCTGAACAAAATGTTGCAAGGCCGCAAAAAAGTTGTCACACAGTTTTCTGACAACATACATGCATTTAAGTTGAAGCTGACTTTGTGGGAGATGCAACTGGCAAATGGCAACCCTGCTCATTTCTCCTGTCTGAGAGATGTGTGTGTGACCAGACCTGATGCGGACATGAAACGGTACAAAGACAAAATTGCAGGACTACTGCGGGAGTTTGAGAAACGTTTTCAGGTATTCGGTGAACTTGAGACAGAATTTTCAGTTTTTCGCTCACCTTTCACAGTTAAAGCTTCTGATCTGCCGGTCGAAATTCAGCTAGAGATAATTGATTTGCAGTGTGATGCAGATTTGAAGGGCAAATTTGCCTCTGTAGGTCTGGACAGATTTTATCAGTATCTACTACCAGGGTACCCCAAATTAACAGCCCTGGCTGCTAAAATATTGTGCATGTTTGGGACAACCTACCTTTGTGAACAAATTTTTCAGTGATGAATATCAATAAAACAAAAATGCGTTCAAGGCTCACAAACAAGCACTTAAATGACATTCTGAAAGTGACAGCTAGTCAGGACATGACACCTGGT